GCTCAGGTGGCAGGACCCGCTCAGGAGGGTTGGAGCCCATTGCAGCTACAGCTTGGGGTGTCCCTAATGGKATTTGGGGTGTGTTTAATGGGGTTTAAGGCGCAGGTAACATGTCAGAATGTGTTTTATAACCGTAGAACAGGTTACACAAACAGTTCTGTTTGCAGAAAATAAAAAGTTAAATTATAAGTAMTGAAAGTGCTCATTCATCTCTCTCTGGAGCTCTGTGCTTGTCACCAGCTTTCCCCTGACTTGCAAAAGGAGCAGTCTTTCCAAAATACCCTGATTTTGTCTCAGGGAAAGCTCTTCTGGTATGGCTCGCACAATTTTAGTTTTTCATTTTGTTTGAAGAGCGAAAGTGTCAAATGCCCTTGAAACAGGTAAAGCTACGAGTGTTCTTCAGCCTGCAGTGATGGATGCGCCTTTCTGGGTAATCAACTTCTCCTTTTTCACACCAGGAACAAGAAAGAGGATGTTAATACCCAGTCCTTAAAAATAAACACTCGTACTCACACATGATTATTTCGAGTGATCCTAGCAAACACTACTGTTATAGAGGTGAGGCTTAAATCAGTAAATCAATTACTTGCTGTGAGCTGACCTAATTTCTCTGAAGAAAAACGCACCATATTAAAAAAAAAAAAAAAAAAAAAAAAAAAAAAAAAAAAAAAAAAAAAAAAAAAAAAAGGCATTTTCAGTCCAGTCTAACTCCACGTGTGTAAGACTTCCTATTTAATGCATCCCATAACCCACACCTTTTGTTGGAATTGCACAGTTTTTAATGCAAGACTCTTAACTAGAGGCTTCTCATGGCAGCTAAACTTTCTTTCCCTTTCCCTGTCCCTGCTCTCCCCTCCCTTCTGCTCCCCTCTCCTCTTTCTCCCTTTCCAGGGTGTGGGGAGGATTAACCTGCTCCACATTTTTCAGGTTTTGAGCCCAAAAACCCCAAAACAAGCGCCGAGTAGCAACAATAACCACAAACTCTTATTGCCAGACGAGATTAAACAGTTCCCAGCCCCTTGCTCCGCCACCTACGCCTTTAAGAAAAGTTTCCCAACAGAAGAATTATGTGCAGTGGAAATGAGTCGTCCTGTTTTTCTCCGGAGCCTGAAGTGAACCTTTCTGGGAAGGGGACGATATTTTGTAGCAATGTTTTCTCAAGTCCAATTCTTTAGGTTCCCGAGTGATGACACATTGTACAGTAAGGCTCTTGGCACACGGCGTTCATCGGCGAGAAGCGATGCTGGCCCCGTTCCTTGCAGCCATTCATTAAATAAAATCACCCCGTGTCATACGTTATGTTCCTCTGAAATGTTTAAACTTTTCAGTGCATGAAATTAGATGGTGCCTGGATCATTTTTTTTTTTTTCTTCCCAGAACACAGCGCTAAMCTCCAAGTCAGTTCCTGAACGTTGTTGGAAGAGCTCGTTATTTCTCGTTATTGCCGTGTTTTGTTTTCGTTTGGTAGGAGCCCAGCTCCATGCAATCGGCTTTGTCAGAAATACACAACTATGGGAATGTGCTGCTAACAGCTCACCACAAAGAGGCCGCTCACCAAAAAAACACCCTGACATAAAAACATCTGCATCTGTTAGAATTTTAGGCATTCTGGGTGCCGTTTACGTGAGAATCTAGCCCAGCTCTCCTTTTTCTTTTTCTTTTTCTTTTTCTTTTTCTTTTTCTTTTTCTTTTTCTTTTTCTTTTTCTTTTTCTTTTTCTTTTTCTTTTTCTTTTTCTTTT